GTCAATCTGGCCGCCTCCATCTGCATTGTCTTCCTGAACAAGTGGCTGTACGTGCGGCTGGGCTTCCCCAACCTCAGCCTCACCCTGGTGCACTTCGCCATCACCTGGCTCGGCCTCTACCTGTGCCAAGCGCTCGGAGCCTTCTCCCCCAAAAGCCTCCAGCCCGCGCAGGTGCTGCCGCTGGCCCTCAGCTTCTGCGGCTTCGTCGTCTTCACCAACCTCTCCCTGCAGAGCAACACCATCGGGACCTACCAGCTGGCCAAGGCCATGACCACGCCGGTCATCGTGGTCATCCAGAGCGTGGCTTACGGCAAGACTTTCCCTCTGCGGATCAAGCTGACCCTGGTGAGGAGGCGGCGGGGCCGACGGGAGCGGGGAGGGGAGCGCTGAGGGCAACGACCCTGCCTAAAACCGCCGTGTCCCCCCCCGCAGGTCCCCATCACGCTGGGTGTTTTCCTCAACTCCTACTACGACGTGAAGTTCAGCGTTCTGGGGATGGCGTTCGCCACCCTGGGCGTGCTGGTGACCTCCCTGTACCAAGTGGTGGGTAGCGGCGCGGGGCGCGGGAGCGATGCGGTGCTTGGGCTCCCAGGTGCTGCCCCTTGCTGTCATCGCCTCGCGGCAGCAGCCAGCCTCCCAGGAAGCCTTCCGTGCCCCGTTATTTCTTTCTAAAAACCCCCACCAAATTATGATAATCCGCCATAACCCCTGCTAAATTAATTGATCGGCCTTGCTGCTGAAAATTGGAGTGTCGTCTTTAGCGTGAGCGTCATGGTCAAGGGGCGAAGATTGCTTTAGCGGTAAAACTCCTTTTTTCTAGAGGGAACAGATATTCTCCTTGTTGGAGAATATCCTAGAAAGGATTTTTTCCCTAGAAAGGATGTTTTCCAGTCCTTCAATCCCATGGTTTATCCTTGAGCCATTTACATTTTATCAGTATCCTTCTTCAGTTCCGACTATACGCATTCTCTCATTCTAATGTGGTTTTGGAGAGGGTGGATTAGTACATAAACACAATCCACTTTCTGGATAATTATTATGTTAGAAATTGATATGTCCAAGGACTTCCTCAGCCCCTTCTGCTGTAACATTGTATTAGTATCTTGCCCGATTTGTTATTGACCATGACTGTAAGAGCCTCCTAAATTAGAAACTCCTGTCATGTTGGTATGATAGATTGAAATGCGAATTTCTTTGTACCAGGTGTACTGTGCCTCAAAACAAAGCGATGATCTTTGACCCATAGTGTGTAAGGTGGTAAATAAGGGTATTTTGACCTGTTGTGTGGGGCAGGAGGAAGAAAGAGGTGCTGCATAAGAACATTAAGTGATGATGTGTATACTGGAGAAATAATGGTACTTGGGTAAAAAGACAAAAAAAACCTGAGCAAGTTTGTATGCTGGCATCCCTATTACCAGTTAATGTGATTTAAGTAAGTGTTAAATATCAGTTTTCAGCACAACACAACGATGCTTCCTTTTGGCTGTGACATCTGTCTTCATAGCCATAGATAAGTAATATTTGTGAAATCATGCAATCCTAAAAATTTAAGTTAGAGTCAATTATATTCAATATTGAAATGAAATCGTTAAATCTGGAATAAACTGGCAAAAGACAAATGTGTACTGGTTTTGTTAGCTTGTATGTACAGGAAAATAAGAAGAAAGGAACAGAATTCAGTCCCTGTTTAGGCAAGGATACTCAGCTCCAACACAGGCAGGAATTTATGTTGAAAATAAAGGGGAGTTGCTATTTTCTTCCCAGCTCCACATATTTGTTCTTCCTCAAGTACGAAACTTTACCCCCAGGCTATGGGAAAAATAAAGTTTAGGCACTCTTTCCACTGCCCCTGCATACATTTTTCTCCTCTCATGACTTTTTCACTTGAAAGAGACAAACACATGGGGCCTCCAATGAGGCAAAGATGAGGCTCAGTGGCCTGTTTAAGTAGTATTGTCCATGTGAGACTCCCTCTGTGTTAGTAACCAGTTTGCTTTTGCTCAGGTTTTTCAATTCATGGTTTGTTTTTTTCCTGATGTTTAACAGCTTTCTCTTTTGATTTTAGTGGGTAGGCGCTAAGCAGCATGAGTTGCAGGTAAACTCTATGCAGTTGCTGTACTATCAGGCACCAATGTCCTCAGCTATGTTGTTGTTCATCATACCCTTCTTCGAGCCAGTCTTTGGAGAAGGGGGAATATTTGGGCCCTGGACGCTTTCTGCTGTGGTAAGGCTTTTGTTGACTTTATTTAAATAATTATCACTGATGTAGTTAAATCTGATTGTAAGATCTGGTTCTTTGTGAAACAGATTTTTGTACAGCTGCTGGCCATGGTGACGTGAGAGGGGCATTTTGCAGGACAAAAAGCCCCTTGCTGAGTCTGCCCCACTTCCTCTGAGAGGAGTGAGTCAGTCAATTGATTTATCTCCTTATTTCTTGTTTCTATTTAGAGGGCATCTGAACAACAGGAAAATATTGAAATCCAGAAGCTTCCCCTAGTGTATTAAGTGCTCTAGTTCTAGTTCTGACTGTCCACTCAGAGGACACTCTCAACTTCTCTTCTGTGGAAAGATGCCAACTTTGGTGGTTCTCTAGAATTAGTAGTTTATTTTCACCAGGAAGACTATAGTTTCTCTCCGTATCCTTCTGTCCAAAGAAGAGCCAGTGGTATATTCTTACTACTGCTGATTGTCCCCCTCAGTGGTGGGTCATTTCTTGTAGTATTGCATTTTATGAATGGGATAGCAAGTGTTCACAGTAATAAAATCAGATATTTTGCTATAATAGGTGTTGTTGTGACCACAAATAAGACTTTATCTCAAATGAAGAATACAACCTCTATGTGAATGAGTATCCAGATTTTCCGAATCACTCTTAAATGTTCACCAAGAGTAAAGGAGAAAAGGCCTGTGGCTCTATATATACTTATGGATATCATATATATCTATATATATATGATATATATGATATATATATATATATCTATATATACTTATGGATATCATACCCTGAGCTGCTTATACACATCACCAGTGTCTGTACTGATTTGAAACTTTCTGGTTTTGTTCTCCCTATGTTTTTCTTGCCTGATATTTTGCATTTGAAAGAAACTAAATAACTTGGAATGTATCTACAAATTTTCAAAAGCAAGTCAGATTACTGACTGTGTCCATTAATCCACAGATAATGGTACTGCTGTCTGGAATAATAGCCTTTATGGTTAACTTGTCCATTTACTGGATCATTGGAAATACATCACCTGTCACGTATCCTTTGTAACACTGGTCGTTTCTTCTGTTTCCAGATTAATTATGTTGGAATTCATTGGTTGATTTATGTGGGAAAATTGTTTGGTAACATTCCTGATTTATTCTAAATGATGAAGCTGGAAAAGCACGTTTGTGTTTTAGTGCATTTTGTTTCTTTCTTTGGGATGTGTATAGGTAATGGCTGTTCACTTGTTGACATTCATACCTGCAAAGAATTTTAACTCATGCTTTGGCTGCCTCGAGGAAGTGTTGGCATGTCCATCAGACTGCAGTGAAAAGGGGTGAAAGGCTTTAGGTGGAAGTTAATGCAGCCACAGAGATCAGGAAAACTGTGTGAGTTGAGTCAACACAGTGTACCATTGCATGCTTTGGGTGGAACTAATGAAAATTCCAAGTGTTTCTTTTTACACAAAATAATATTGGTGTTGGCTATTATCCTTAACAGATGTCTAGGTATAACATGTTTGGACATTTCAAGTTCTGCATCACCCTCCTGGGAGGGTGCCTCTTATTTAAGGATCCACTGTCTGTTAACCAAGGCCTTGGGATTCTGTGCACACTGTTTGGCATTTTAGCCTACACACACTTCAAGCTTAGTGAGCAGGAAAGCAATAAGAGTAAATTGGCCCAGCGTCCATAGAGCAAGAGTTTCTGAAGACTTGTGAAGGAAAACAAGTATTTAAATGTGCATTGATTTTTAGAATGCACAGAATTGCCTCATCCACTTAGATCTATGGTTTTAGTTTAACTGCCAGGATTGTTATTCTGTAACTAAACCAAACGAACTGAAGGATGTAAAATGCTGGGGTTTTGCCATTTCAGTCTGTCCTATCGTTTTCATTAAATTAAAACAGTAACTTAAAAGATAAAAAGGCACACTTCAAATTGCTGTGGAAATTGTACTGAAGTAATTATATTTTTTTGCATACCAAATGAGATCATGATGGCTACAGTTATAATACAGAGAGAGAGAAAGAAAAAGAATCCTGTCTCTGTGATCAAGCCAGTATTGCCATTGTGATGAAACTTGGAGGCATTTTTATGCAGATGTTCTAGCACGTAGTGATGCTTCCTCATTTTTGTCTGATGAACAATGAAGAGGGAAACATATTTTGTCCAGTCATTTTTAAAAGAGGTGCCAGACTCATTCCTATTTCTTGTATATGCTTTCTTATCTCTGTCTTGAACACAGATAGATTTTTAGATGAAGTAGGTAAAATTACAGGTAAAGAGGAAAGCAGAAAGTTTGAAGCCACAGGCCAAGGTGTGGAAAAGTAGGAAATCAGATCTAAACAGTTCATCTTAATTTTCTCTTTTAATTTGTCAGGACATTAATGAAGTAATTAATGTTTTCAAAAATGTTGTTTCTGCTTTATAATTTTCTCTGTGCCAAAACCAAGACAGAAGATTTACACAAGATCTTGTAAATACCTGTGAGCCTAATAAAATCTCTGATTTTGTGGTAGTAACCAAATGTTTTGCAGCCCTTGCACACAGATACCCATGCTAAAAAATATTTTTGAGAAGGCTTCAGAAAGGTCACCATCTTTAATGGGTGTGAAGGTTGCCAAGTTCTCTCTCTTGCCTTCAGCACCACCTCCCTTGCTCCCACGCCTTTCCCCAAGAGTTATTTCGGGTGGGATCTGTAGGTTTGTCTGTTGTCATCGTTTTAGGGGTGAGGCCCAGGGGCTGTCTGGGAAATGCTGGGTGTGAGGCAGCATTTCCTCAACAGGCAGTCCTAAGAAATGTATCTGAATGACTGGAGAGTGCAAGGTGGGACCTGCTTCTGCTCTAATTAAAAAATGCTTTGAAAATTATTTTATGACAGTATCAGGCACTTATTTTGACAATGTGGATGGAAGAAGTTCAGTGCTGTTCTATTTTAAAAAAGGGAAGAAAAAATAACTGCTTTCTGTAAATCTGGTGAGAACAGATGTTCACTAGATTTGCAGGGTTAGAATTTAATTGCAGTATCTTAATCTTTACATGTTGGGGTTTGTTTTGTCTTCATCTACCTCTACCAGATTTAAAGAGGGGAACTGTGTGGAAAAAACCAAGTATTTAAGTTGTGCGGCCATGGACAGAAATAATATTTAGTTCTAAGTTTTTTACAATAGAGGAAAGAAGTATTTGTGTTGGAAACAATGCAAATTTTCTCAAGCTTGTAAATTATTTATTCTGCTACAGAGTTCTTGATTTAAGAAAAAGTTACTCCTCTCTGTAACCTAAGTTTATACGGTAACACTCTACATCAGTTCAGAGTTACAAATACCTGAATAATTTTACATCTTTACCAACTGTTTCTTGGACATTGTAGTGGTCTGAGAATAATTTTTTTATTACAGTTTTGTAGATCTATGTAATTAGTTTAAAAATACAGCCTGGACTGCTGAAAGATGTGTTCAGATGGTCAAGCTCTGGATGCATATCCTTCAGTATGTAGACTGAGAAATCCATTTGCATTAATTTGTGCTGTGCACAAGTTCTTTTGAGATGTAGATAGACTGCAAAAAAGAAACAACTAGAAAACAACTGAATTACATGCCTGTAGGACAAAAATATTTGAGATGGATGTAAATATATATATATATATAAAGTGGTAGAATGAACTAAACAACAATGTCTGGAAATACAAAAGACTCTGTAAGGAGAAGAGCAGATCTGCAAGAGAAAATTAACAGCATCATTAAAAAAAGTACATTATAAATATAATCTGGTGCTGGAAGATGTGTGTGTGGGAGTCACTTAAGCGATGTGATTTTTTTTTTTTTCATGCATTCAGGAACCCTATTTTGAGATTTACTTGTTGTATCTAATAAATAAAGTATCTTGAACTTTGTCATATGGTTCAAAATATTAAATGCAGGATGCTTGTGTAATTGTGGGATAAATAGATCTTTGTATGTATTTTTTCTTTGGATACCATGTGTAGGGTGGGAATAAATTTTTAATCATTTGTCTGATACCTGCTTATTGCACAAGAGATGAGTTGTTCTTGTCTTTTTTCATCTTCTACTTGAATTACATAACTTTGGGGGTCTAGGTGTGTATAAGACAAAATGGTACCACATGGATTTATTTCTGTCCATATGAATATGGCAGGGAATTTTGAACTTTTTTGACTTTTGGCACAAATGAGGAGAATTTTAAGAACTGGAGTCTTCAAAAAATTACTGATACTTATTTGCTTATTCTAGTTTTCATTACACATCACTTGAATGTGTTTTCCTGGTAAATGCATGTAAGTGCACTGCTAAGTGCAGTCTTGGCTTCCTGAAAGAGAAATCAGAGACTTGCCATCTTCAGCAATGTGTAGCCATCACCCTGTGTGAGCTGTTGCAATTGAAGCCATCCCATATGTGCCCTAGAATTTGCTTTCTGCTTCTCATTTTACTTCATACTTGATATGACTAAACTGTCATATCAACAGGATAGGCTTTGGTCTTTTTCTCCCATGCAATGCTTTCCTGCTATGTTAGCATTCTTTTCTTTAAGAAGCTACCATTGATGTAGTTCAAATGGAACTGTAGATACCCAGATGGCAGTTAAAAATGAGAACAAATGATTCTGATTCAAATGTGAGTGACTGGTGGTAAGTTATCTAGCCTTGTCCTCAAAAACACTTTAGAATAATATCCACAAGGTTTTCCCATTTTCCCCAAAGCAATAGGAAGTGTGTCTTCATTTAAGAGATACTCAGTGTAAAGCTTTGTGTTGCCTTTAACTTTGGTAACTTGGCACTCATTTGACAGCTTTTGCATCGGGTTTTGTACAACTTGCTAAGTTCTTGCAGGCTCTGGGGCAGAGTGCCAGAGGAGTTTTCCTGTAGATGGGTGAACAGCTGCTCCCTCAGGCTTGGGGTTGAAGGAGTGTGGTTTGCTGCTGTTACATGTATGAAAAGGAGGTTTGTCTTGCAGGAAGTCTACAACCTTCAGGACAGAACTGCAATTCAGCAGGACTGTATCCTCTCTCTCTCATCTCATGAAATGAATGCTCAGCGATGGTCTGGGGCTAGAGCAACATTAAAACTCGGTTTAGCTACCCATATTTTTTTATTAATTTTTAAAAAATATTACTGGTAGTCAATGCTGGTTAAATATTAAGGTAAAATCTCATTTTTATAATATCTTATTATATAAGAGCTTCAGAAGAGTGGTTTTTAACATTTTGGAGTTGAGCTAACGTCTAACACACATCTTTCTTGCCAAATCTGCAAAATCTATCAAAAGATGCTGGATTTCATAGCTGGCTGTATATATCAGTACAGTTGGGCTGCTGAGGAGAGGCCTGCTTTTGAGCAATAGTGGACACTGGCTCACTGTTCAGGTATTTAGCAGAGACTGAGAAACATCTGGCCTGAAATTCATCAATGTACTTGGGGAAGGAAAAAGGCTTACTGATTGGTGAGAGCTTTTTAACTTTATGATTTTTATGTTCCTGCTTTTAACAATAGGCTTGCAAGTTAAAAAATCAGAGAGCATGACTTAACCCCACATCACCTTTCATATTAAGATTTTTCTTCCAAGATGACAGATTTTCTTCCAGTTAAATAGTTATATTTTACCTTGATTATGAAACAAACAGATTTTGGATTAAAGACTCGCAGGTTTTTGCTTGTGTTATGGGTTTTTTCCCTCTTAAAATTTTATTTTAGCCTTTCAAAACCCAAATTCCCTGTTTAATAAGAAAACAAAAAAGGGGAAATTATTTTAATAAATGAAAGGCTACTGTGTATATATAGTGAAAATATGTTTTGTTTTGCAAAATAATTTCACTTCTAATTCTGAAGATGCAGCTCTTTGTTTTTCTACTGTTACAATTGGGCAGATGGAAAGAAGCACCAGCTTTTCTACTTCATACAAGTTTGCTCTTTTCCTGCAGGTGCTCTCCCTCTGACCGCAGTCTCAGCCTTCCTTTTGACAGCTCAGTTGTTGCAAAGATGATTGGGATGTCAGCTGCAGAGGGTTAAGAACACAAAGGAAAAAAATATAAGCAGGAGCTGATATAACTTTGGGTGATGAGAAATCTTACAGTAAGACTTAGACACATCTTACCAAACAGGCCTGTGCAAAGCAGCAGGGAAAGGTGTGGGTTCATCTCCAAGCAGGTTTTGCTAAGAATTCAAGAGCTAAATAGTTTGCATTCTTACTGTACTGTACTAGTTAACAAATTTAGTATAAAGCAATTTTTAATAATATAAATTTGAAAATATAAATGCCATGGGGGAAAGAAAAAAAGCTGGATTCAGACAGTATAAGATCTTTGCCAAGCTTGTTCCACAGCAGTGATTAACCTTCCTTGAGAGAAAGGAGCTATTGTTTCTCCCCTGCTCCATTGATGCTGGGCTTGGTGAAGGAAGGTTTGTGTTCCTGAAATTCTGCTTTTTTTCAGCTGTATCAGTTGGTCCAATGAAAACATATCACCTCTCCCTATAGGGCTTGTCTCACCCTTGCCTTGTGTAACTACAGTGGCTGTCAGCACTAGGGAATCCAGCCCAGCCCAAGGGGTCATAGTTACAATCTACAGTACAAGGACTAAAGGAGGGGGAAATGTGATCCCTTCTCATTGTTTCAGTTGCCATGCAGTTTCTAATACTTTCCAATTTTAGTCTTTGTCATTTCCCTTTAGTAGGTTCATAAGTAAGCTCCCTTTCCTGTTCTAGTCTGTCCTTTTCATATAGTTATGATACAGTTTATGGAATTCTTGAATTGAGACAGAAATTGTATCACTTGCTCAAATAAATACATTGACCTCATCCACTGTTGCTGTTTTTTTACGCAGGGGCCCTTGTTTGCCTTCCAATCCAGAAAAACTTATTTGCTAAAAATACCAGAGGAGTCAGGTTAACCTGAATTAAGAGGTAATTAGTCAGCTCAGGAGCTGCACATGACTTTACAGCTGCACTTGCTCAAAATCAAACAGGCACAATGTGTTGCCTTTATAATTGATAGGCAGGAACAGACATGGGCAGATTAAACATAATGTAATTAAAGTAAATTACATATTTAGAAGCAAGTAGGGGGAACAATCCAAAGGCTGCTTGGAGGATTTGCATTGCAAAGATATTTTCTGATCTGCTTGTGGCTTCACTGGAACATGAATACAAGCCATTCATTTGAAGGCATGTGGTTATATTCAAGGAGCTCCAAGAAGTCCAGCATGGCTGTGTGGGTAACACACACATGCAGGATGCACATGCAGGCTAAGCAGTGTGTCAGAAAACAGCAGGATTATTTTTAGAACCATAGATGGTTGTGTCTCATCCAGGAAGTACAGGGAGGAGATCTCTGGTTGAAGCAGAGCATAAGAATGTAATTTTTAATAACTGTGGCACAAAAAACTTGGGTTTTACTTTCCTACTAAGCAGAGACAGAGAAGCAAACTCTTTTAAAGGAGCTGTGTTCTGAAGCACATGGAATAATCATGTATATAATATATACATGTATATAATAATAATAATCTAAGACCATAGAATAGGGGTGGTTGTGATTAAAGAAGAAAAAAGAGACAATGGATTAAGAAACAACTGAGAAGAGTAAATAGCACATGCACATCTAGGCAGGTTTTTAAATATAAGGTCTAAGTTTAGATGCTTAACTCCACAATTAGGCAGTTCAATAACAGGGCCATATTTGTCAGTGTGAATTTTTTACCTTTCAAGAGAACTTGATAGAAAATGGCATTGGCTCAGCACTCCCAGAAAGGAAACTGCATAATTGACAAGTTTGACATTTTTTTGTTGCCAACTAAATTAGGTATCCTACTCAACCAAGAAACCGAGTCCTTGTTCTGTTTCCTTGCTCTGCCCACAACATTTTTAATCCTCCTTACTCTCCGGGGAAAATAAACCATTTGTGCACTTTATTTTCTAACTATAGTGACTGAATGGGTTTTGTTTTACAGTACACCAAAGTTGTGTATTAAAAACTTGGATTAAGATCTTCCTAATCAAGCTTCTGTCTTTGAGCTGAATGGAAAAAGCCTCTCCAGCTCCTATTATACAGCATCAATGGTTGTGAAATAGATGCTTCTCTCCAGAGAGTCCAAAGCAATATTAAGGTCTGGGATCCAAAGTGGTTTACTTGTTAAGTGCATCTCTTGTAGTGGTTAGTCAGAAAGTTTCCTATTTGTTAATCCAGTTGAGAGAAGAAACTGACAGTGGTGATCATACACCCTCCAGAAAATTATACATTTCTGAAAACACACAATCCTGCTTTTCTGACTGTTGAAGTGGTTCTTCTGATCAGGATTAACAGTTAACCAATGTTTTCCAGCTAGTATCATTCCTCAGAGATGAGTTAGATTTCTTCTCAAACAAAACCTAAGCAAAACTTTTCCACAAAGCATTCTCCAGATCATTAATAGCTTTGTCTTTATTGGGATGGACATGTAAACCTTAATTCTATACCTACAGTCTCGAAGAGTTCCAGCTGACAGCAGTGTGAATGTGTGGGAGGTTGACACTGAGCTGCGATTGCTGAGCACCTGCACTAAGTTGGTTTTATAGAAGTAGATGCAAATTTACAGAACCAGCCGTATTTGGATGTCATTGAAACCTCATCTTGGATGCTGAAGACAAAGATTTACATTCAGAAACTGAGAAATTAGCAGATGTAGTTGAAGACACACTCCTAGCACACATTATTGGCAGCATGAGTGGTATATCATGTTCTGCTCAAAGGCACAAGTCCCGCGTCTCCCTGTGGACCCAGTTTGGACTTTTGATTGTGTCTCTTAATCTGTCTGAACTGAGTTTCTATGGCCCTCTGCTAGGCGGAATAGCCACGGCTAGCTGCAGAGTCTTCCTGTGCAGGCAGGCAAGTTTCCGTGCTGGGACAAGGGGGAAGGGTGACACCGCACGGCTGGAAACGGGACCGAGGAAAGCGGGGCGGGGCCGGGCGCCTCTTTCCAGAGCCCGGATGGAACACCCAGACTCGGAAGAGGTTTCGAAGGAGGAAGTGTCACACATATACGAAATGGTGAGAAAACACTATTTTCGTGTACAGCCACCAGCCTCTCAGAAGCCTCAAAGAGCTTCTTAAGCACTCAATATATTTATGAGCCTTTAAGTTGTCTCGAAGCCTTTGGGAGACTGGCCCTGAGCCTCAGTGGCTTGCTTCTGTTCTCTGCAGCCTACTGTGGACTGGCAGTTCTCTATTCCCCTTGCCTCCCGTATAAAGGGAAGATCTTTGGAATGTAAGTTGTGCGTTGATCCTATTTTTATTTTTTTATTTATTTTTAAAATGTGCTTTATTTAGCTGAACCAATCTGTGCTACATCTGTTTCTACTTCCTTCATATCCTATAGTAATTCACTGGGTGTCACACAAATCACGAATCACTGAGATATAATTTATAAAGGCTGGTTACTTTTCTAATCAGTTACTTGTCCCTAAGCAAGCCAGGATTTAAATGCTGTCAAATTTCATTGAGTGTAAAAGTAAGATAAGCAAGTCCCCTCATCTTCAGAGTTTCCTGTTAAAAATAAATGTAAATCAGTGTATGCAAAGATGTCTGAAGAAATTATTTTGTCTAATGAGATTTAAATTTGGAGTGCTAGATGGAGAAAAACTTACATAAAGACTTTGCTGCACAAGTGGTTTGGCAGATTGGATTGTAGTAAAAGCCAGAGACACTGGGATCTAAAGAGGGATTGTTTGCACTGGAAACTGGAACCAGAATCTAGTAAAAATGGAGAGTGGATATGCATATATGAGACATAGATAAAACCATACAGTTTTCCTCGTTTTAGTGCAGTCATCATTTTGGTGTTGCATGAAATAATTGTATGGCTACATGAACCAAAAGGACTCAGTCTGTGTGCAGAGGTTGCCAGTGGTGTGTACCAGTACCGCCCCCCCTGCCTCCCCCCCCCAGCTCCTTCAGGCTTCTGTTTTTCCAGAGATGATTGTTATTTTCCAGTCTGTGTCAGCAAAAAGGAATGTGTGCCCTTGCTGTGGATACAATCCTTGGAGTATCAGTTTAACATGTTAGAGTGATAACTGAGATGTGGGTAGTGATCCTGTCACTGAGACTGCAGGAAAACCAGAAACTCTCCAACATCTCTGTTTTGTTAGAGAATCAAGGCAGTACTCTATTCTGGCCAGGATGCTATTTTGGCCAGAATGTGCAATAGAAATTCCTTCCACACATGCCTGGTTTGTGCAGTGAAAATGATTCCATTACAAATGGTTTCTCACCACACATTTCTCATCTTTATACAGACGAATCCCAAATCAATTCACATTCATTGGTCTTAAATTACACAGATCTTCGTATTTCTGTTTTCTATGGGTTATTGATTCCCTCTGTCTTCGATGCTAATTTGATCCTCATTCTTCGGTTCTCTTGGCGATCTTTTCCCTGACCAGGTGTCTCCTACCGCACCAGGGCGGGTAATGGTCCTTGATGGTCGCTTGTCTCCTGTGCACTTTCTGGCTGCTCCCAGTCTGTAGATGTTAAGATCATCAGACCCCCGCCAGCGGGGTGAACAGCGTCTTTTGAAGAGAAACTTCAATTCCCCTCTCCCTGGGGAAAGGCAAACAAACCCCTGACTAAAATTACATTAAAAATGTCAGAAGTTGTATCATTTCCAACAATCCCTCCAACTTAAATTGTGTTGCAAAGGCAGTAACTTTTGTCACAAAGTCACAACAACGGCAGAGGGGGACGATGTCTTGTATTTTAAAATCAGCCCTCACAGAAAAGAGCACTTTCAGTTTGAAGTACAGAGCAAATGAGTTAAAAAACACAACGGCCTGCAAATTACCATCAGAAGTGCCTTCTTTGGTAGTATCTTGCAAACCTTTCAGCTCCTTTGCAACACAGGAAAAGCTGGCTTTGGGTAACTGAAGTTGTCATCAGTGCTAACATGCACTCTTTGCTTCCCCAGTTCTAACTGGTTTATCAGCCCAGGTGACTGATACAGGAGATAACATTCAAGGTGTGGTTAGATAATAAGGAAAAGACCACTGAGTGGCTCCCTGCCTATTTCCCCATTTCCATCTCTGATTCTCTGCTTCCAGCTGTGTGTCCCTGCTGCTTTCTTTATGATGTCTTATGTGTTCTTGATAAAGCAAGCTGACATACTAACAGCAAATACAAGTAAATATCCTGCTGTTGAATCAGATAAATATGTGGTCAAAGGAGCCAAAGCCAGTTCAAAGAAATGCTTGGCTAGGAATGCACAGCTCCTGGCAAGGCTAATGTTTCAACAGGGCAACAGATGAGCTCCAGACATTATTTCGGTGAGGCACTGATGGGCTCAGCTGCATCACCAAACAGTGCAAGGAGGCTGAGGCAATCCAACACCACTCTTTTTCCTAAAACATTCTTACCATCAGCTTACAGCCATAAGTGAGGAGGCAAGGAGGAGAATGGAACACCTCTCTCACAGTGGAATGCCTTGAAATCATACAAGCTTAATGTAGTCTTCCTCCCTAGTAATGCTGCTAAGATAGCTGAAACAGATCCCACCTTTTCCCTGCCTGTCTGCTGCCACTCCAGTGATGTCCTGGGCCAGCTGCTGTGTAGCTGCTCAGGACTACCTCAGGGAACTGATCTACAGAAAAAAAAAATGGCATTATTTCTCAGGTGTGCCAGGTCACTTTATCCACTTTATACAATAGGGGCACAAACAACAGAAGGGCAGCAAGAGGATGGAAGAAATGGCTGGGAACAGATCTCTCAGGAGTAACATGCCACCAACCCCATCCCAACAAAGGGATGCATGCTGAGTCTTCATCATCTTGCCATTAAACACCACCATTTTAGTGTGGTTGTGCAGCTAAGTAAGCCCCACAGCTGCTATAATTCTCAAGCAGAGCAGATAATGTGGCTGATTAAGGACCAGAGAGAGGTAAGACAGACCCAAGTCAATGACTCCCTGCAGCTCTACTTATACCCCATCCAATAAGAAAGAGTAAATTAAATATTGTGGTATCTTCTGCACTGAATGAGTTAAAGTTCGGGATTGGCAATTATCTACCAAAAAGGATATTATTCTAATAATTCTAATAATCCTTTTATTCTATTATATCTAATTCTTATTCTTCAATAGATATGGGGGAAAACAAGTGTTCTTGAGAATCTTTTTGAAACTGTATTTTGGCATGAAAACCAGATCTGTGCTCTCAGATGTCTCACTACAGTGCATTTCAGGGTATGTTTGTGTGAGGCTTGTTTTGCTTATGTGAGCAAACTGCAGCCTGTCCTCTGACAGCAAAGGCACTACGCAGTAATATCTTACAGTCCCAGAGAAGTGGATTTGGATTCTTCCCTTGTGAGTAGCACTACATGGTATATTTCTCTCAAGGTGCCCTACCCTCTGGCCTTGGCTCATAGGTGAACAACATGTTGTTAAGATAAATAAGGTAGGTCAGAAGTCAAAGCCCGGTGCCTGCATTGTGTACTTCCAAGTACACAAACAAATGCAGAAGAAATTGCCAAATTATTTTTAAACTACAAAAGTGACTTAAACTAAGACGCTAGGATGGATATTGCAAAACCAGCTGAATGAAGGAATACCAATGCACTTGCTTTTTGTGGAGGTAAGAGATAACTGAGGTATTAATGCTTCAATGGAACTGAAGAAAGTACAGAATAGTATTTACATGGTTTCATCATCTGCAGTCAGAGCTTAGTTTGTGTCCTGCTTTTCCAGAGGCATCAATGGGTTTGTGCAACTTTTATGCATGAATTCCAAGAGCCTTTTTTGGGTGATGTAGATGAAAAAAAACCTTTTCTGCACCAGAAGGCGCAACCACCAGAGAACCTCCCCTAACCAACCTCCTGCCGAGTCCCAAGGCTCCACCACTGCAGTGGTGACTGTCAGACCAGCTAATGGAATCAGGGCAGGTGGCAGAAAAACAAGTTTAGTGGCACATACAGCCTTCAAAAATTCATGTACCATTTGGCTTAATACTTCCTCTCTTCAAATACTACCCTCCTGATCTGAACTGCCCACTGGTACTTAGAAAGAGGTTTCAGTTTGTACAGCAGGTGGGGTGGGGGATTTCCCTTAACTTTACTGTTCCATATTTATTTAAAAAAAAAGAGATTATGGTAACAAAACCAAGTCATGGACTTGGACAAGAACTACCTTTTACTTGTTCAAATGTCTCTAGTGCAGATGGCCCAACACAGTCCACCTCAGGGTAATGCATGCCACATATTGGAAACTGCTACCAGCTGGCTTTCAGGTGGAACTTATGAAGAATTAAAACTACAATAAAAGAAGAAAAGCAGAGTGTGAAATATATGGATATTAAAACACTTTTCAAAAGGAACAAACCCTCTTGCTTCTTTTTTGATCCAATTCTACAAACTACAAACAATATAACTACCAAAAATTAGGACACATAAGAGTAATTGCAGAATAGCTTGTGAGCTCTTAGTATGGAACTACTTTTTATAGCTCTAGAGCATGTATGTGTATATATATATATATATATATATATATATATAATATGCTGTGGAAATATTGACACAATCTGAAAAGCAGAAATTACATGGAGGAGAGGAGGATACAGGAATATGCAAGTACTGGGAAGAAAACACTGTTAGAGTCAAAGTGGAGAAAATCAGAGGTGAATATGAAAAAGAAGCTCAAGACAGTGCTGGTCATCCCAACCAGTGTCTGGCATCCGATCTGGAGGATGCCAAATTTCCACTTCCTTAGTGTTTCTTACTGCAGATGTGAGAACGTAAAACATGTGTCAGAGCTTTTTCCTTGACCCAGGGGGAAAACATGACATTTTCCCTTGATTTCTGTGACAGTCAAGTTCCAGGGCCTTGGAACCCAGCTCGGAGTAAGCAGGTAAACCGTCATTGCTGTTGCAGTGGAACTGTGCTGCATCTCTGTGGGTCACAAACTCCTCCCAGCAATACCCAGCTCTCTGCTGAATGCTGTGCTGAGGTTACTATTCCCTTGCTCCACAGAGACAACTGTTTCTGTTTCATCATGCCATTGTTTCATGTTTGTGTTTAAACAGGTGCTAACTCACAGGCAAGCAACTGGGCGCTGTAAAAAACTTCTCTCACTTGGCAGCAAGCTATTGAATACCAGCTGCTGGGTGCAGAGGTGACTTGTGATCAGGATCCACCTGAATCAAGACAGGGCATATGGGCAAAAGAAAAAAGACAGGCTGGGTAAGCAGTGTGGTTTTTCAGAAGGATGACTTAGCAAGATAAATCAGCTTGTTTCAGGAGGTATGTGGATTTATGCCTCATCTGGGGGTATATTTAATCTCAAGGAAACTATTTGCAGCAAATCTACTTCGAAAGTGGGCTTCAGAATATACATGCAAGAGTGATAACTTAGCCCTGTCTGTGATGGCAACAAACTCTTGGAGGGAAACTACTCTTACTTGCCTTGAGAGTTTCAGGTCAAGGCTACATCAGACACTAATGCCTCTAGTAAATGCTCCAAACTACTTGTCTAGCTACTTGCACTATTGTTTAACTGCATATGCTACAACCGTATGCTAAAACTCGTACTGAAGAAGCTGTGCTCCCAAACATAGAGAGCCAGCAGAAAGGTGACTTTGTAATTCATCTGTAAATCAATCGTAATAGGAAAGGAAGAGGGCTGAGGCTTTTTTCAGGAATGGATGGTTCATCCTGTGTCAAGTAAAATCATACACCAGTCAGTAAGACTGCATCAACGAAACATTAAATTGTGGAGTGGAGCACAAGAAGGTCTGCAAGGAAGGATTTTATAGATCCTGTGATCCAAAGGAAAGCATATATTCTTTGTATAACAGGCAGCTAGAAAGCAAGTATGGAGCATGCAGAGGAGATGTGTGCAACTGGGTCAGCAAGACCCAGCAAGGATGGTCCAGCAAGGACAATTCTGGGAGATAAATGATCAGGTACCTGGAATGGGTCTGAGTTAAGAAGCTGGTTGTGTAATAAAATCCCTTCTGGGTTTTGTTGTTAGAAACAAACAGTTCAAGTAACAGATGGACCCTTAAAATATTTTTTGTCTTTTCTTCCTCTAAACTAGACTGCAGCCTGACTTGAACAGTACTTCAGGCGTGACTTCATCATCAGCTGTAGTTCTCTCCATGCATAGCATTCCAGACTGGATTTGGATTGCATGTTGTGTTTGCTCTCAGCTTCTCCTGGATCTAGATTGTCCCTGAATACATTCCAGTTTCAGACTGAAAGATACCACTATGTTTCACATAAGTCATATTAGCCTGCGCATACCCCACACACCCTTCTGGGCCACTCCCTTGAAGAGAAATGGTTTTTTGTGCTGGATTGAACAGCACATTTGAATGACAAATGAGCACTGAATTAAAAGAACAATTCTAAACTGAATTGGCATTATCCTAGTTTGATTAAATAAGGCAGATGAGCATGATTATACTGGGGCTTTTCTGATCTAATTGCATACAATCAAGTATTTCTACCAAAGGAGAGATCACTGGATTGTTTAATTTTCACAGTTTAGTGAAGCAGGATATGGTTACAATCTAGTCACATATTTCACTCCTGCTTAAGAAGAAAAGTATGTTTCTTCACTCAGTGATGTGCTTAACAAAAACTATTTGAAAGTAAGAGGAGTCTTTTCCTGAGATTTTTCCCTTTTAGTTCTTTAGAATTGTTCCATTAGCTTCATTCAAAAGTGAGGACTAAACAGAAAACTAGAGTGGGAAAAAACACCTGAGCCTTTCATTCTGTGTTGGATATTGAGTTGTGTTGGATATTTGAGTTCAAAAGAACTGGTTTATATTTTTGCCAGTTGGCTTCCCTTCAGAAAGCATGCACTATTGTTTTGTTTAATTGTGCTTGTGGCTGACTGCCCTGCTGCTAAATAGAAATCAGATTTGGGCATCAGATTACCAATGTCTCCCAGATGGATGAAAAGTACACCAATTAAACAAAAGCAGAAGAGCTGCTGTTTTCTGATGTGGGGTAATTCCACCTCCAGTGGTTTTGAAGCAGCTGTAGTTAACGTGCTGGAGAGCAGACACACATGAACTGAGTGCTTGTGGGAGGAAGGTAAGAGCTCATGAACAGCTGCCAGAAAAGGTTTTTTTTGAGACCCTCTTTTCCAGTACACCTGAAGTAATTTTACATTTTTCAGAATAAATACCTGAAGTTATGGAAGTGTAGGAAACTGGCAATCTCATATCCAAAGCACTCATGGGGCACATGGTGTGATTCTCGGAAGTGTCCTGTGCAGGGCCAGGAGTTGGATTTTGATGATCCTTTTGGGTTTCCTTCCAAATCAGAATATTGTGTGATCCTGTGATAAGACACCACAGCCCAGGATGTGCACCCAGGTGAAGCTGTAGAACGCCTGCTGTGCCACACAGCCTGCAGAGTAACTGGGGTTGTTTGGAACGGCAGTGCAGCCCTGGGAAGCTTAAACATGTCTCCTGCACACCATGAAAACACAAGCTGGACAGCAAGGAGAATTTACTGTTCCTTGTTAAACCACTGCAATAGCATTGCCTGTGGTTTTTGGGTTCTCACTGCTGCTATGAGCTGTGCTCTTGATTCCTTCCTGTCTGTTCAAACTTGCTCCCAGGAAGGCTGCATCTGCTTTTCACTTAGTAGAACCTGAGTGTCATTTCTAGTAAGAATTTCTGGTGGAGGTGCTGACAGACCTCTCCACTGGGATAGGTGTTAGATTATGAAATATAATTTCACTGAATTAAATATGCTATTACTGCCATGAGGATTTCTTATTGCTGTGCTTTTTTTTACACAACAGGAGTGTCAAGAAAACAACAGAATTCTTTCTCCTGTATTTGTACAGAATTGTACTGACCCACTGTCTGGCACGTGGGGTCACAGCTGCAGCAGGCAGCCCTGGCAGAAAGCCACATTAAGCAACACATGTCCCAGCTGCATTTCAGCATCTTTCTTCCTTTGTCCTTTTACCTTGAGATGCCTGATAATCTGCAACACACAATGGACCCCAGATCCCAGCTTTATGTCACAGTAGTAGAGATACAATCTAAGGCTACAGAAAGCGTATATCAGCACAGTGCAAAGCCCAGGAGGGTTGCTTTGAATTTATTTATTTTTTTGTCTGGGTGCAGTTCATAGACAGTACAAGATTATTCTATCTGATCAGGAGCAAATGGCTTGGAGATGAGACCTGGCAAACCCTGGCCACCTATGCCTCTGATCAGCATCTGGCAAGGAACACATCATGTATGTGCTGGATGCGGAACAGGGGTCTGCTAGGAAAAGGTAAGTAGGACATCTTGGGGTTGCAAAAAAATTACAGTGAGGAACAAAAATCAGAAATTGAAGTGTTTTAATGGTCCATCCATTCACTTGAGTTGAGCACTCCTGCAGCACAAGGGCCCACCTTTCTTCTGGCGCATGTGCCTATAGGGGGACCAGATCCAACTCAGGAAATAATTTAGCTTGTAAGCATTAAACAGGGAAATGTCTACAGTTAGAATCTGAATTTATATTAAAAAGGGTCTCATACAATGTTAGTTAACCACAATATAAAGTTAGTCTCTCCAGTTAAGGCAGCTGGGTCTTAACTACTCCAGATATTTTCTGTAGCACTGTAAGTAAAATACACAGGTATAGTGACATCTCCTTTTCTTTTTACAGCCTTCAAATAGTGGAGAAGCCAGCTGTTGTAACTATACAAGCTTATTACTCATCCTTCAAGTAAAACTTTTTAATTATACTTGTCCTGAATTATCAAGCACATAATAATAAGAAAATAATAATGTATGTTGATGACATAGCAACACCAGCTGTATTAGTGACAAACAAGTGTTGCACCACTGCATATCAGAAAATACCCCCTCTTTCCTTAAGCTAGCACAGACAGCATATTTTACCTACTTGCAATCGCCTTTAACTCAAGATTATTCTGTTGGAGAAAAGAGATAAGATTGTCCTTGAGGACTGATAAAAATTCTAGACAGAAACTGTTGAGGGTTTTTTATCCTTAGCAGTTAATGAGTCGGTAAGGGAAATTATTATTTAAATAGTCTCAAAGTCATTGGTCACAAGATGCTTATTGGTAGAGAAGTGGGAAAAGCAAGTCATAGTAATGAGTTTGGCACGTCTTGGACTGCAGAAAACTTATTGCCAATTTAAAAAAGCTCTTTAATTTCCAAACAGCCATAGCAAAATGGAACTGTGCTTAAGACAAGGATCAATAATGTGATAGCTTGGGGAGAACTACATAAACAGTTTGGTTTGATTTCAGTTCAGCAAAATATATTTTGCATTGGAATTAAATAGTTTTTGTGTTGTCTGCATGAGGAAAAGATTGAGCATCAGTAGCAGAGCTGTTTAGTAGCTATTCACTTCCATCCTCTTGTATTTTTGTGTAGATGGAGTTTTCTCCTAATAATGAAATCAGCTAGCTAAGGATCTCAGGAACTGGGGTTCTGGGTGGAAAAGAGCAGATATCGGACTTTGTCTGCTGCAGGACATTCTTGACTCCACTTGAAACAGATTTCTGTTTGCCTTGAAATCCCAGCACTAAAAGAAGGTGAGCAGGCTTTGCAGAATTTTGGCAGCTTCTCGGTTGTCCCTCACTAGACCTTGAGTTTTATGCTCTAGAGGGATAACAAAGTGATCTTGAAAATCCATCATCACACAAATATCTAGATTTAAACCATTGCTGGAATTTTTACAAGGTGCCATGGTTGCTGAGAAGCTGTATTTGGCCAGCAGACAAGTCCAGGCAGTTATCCGCTGCTTGTTTGGACAAGTTAGTTGTCATGGAAAATTTAGCGTTACGCTCTCCCTGCTCTAGCCTATCTTTAAACACTGTCTGCAGCACTCATGTTCTCTGACAAAGCTTTTCATTATTCAAAAATAATTTTAAAATGTCAATGGGCAAAGAAAAAACCCGAGAATTAGAAAAGGCAGGCAGAATAAAAACGAACCACTTTGAGTTGGAATGTAGCAACTAATAAGTGCCTGTGAAAGTAACATACTTCCAAACGCCATACATTTAAAAGATACAGAAAATTATAGAATGGGAGATGACAAGAAATTAGAACGACAACATCCAATTATCTTTGGATGCAGTGTTTTCTCCTACTTCCATCTCTTAAATATATCCGAAAAAAAACCAACAAAAAACCCAAACCAAAACCAAACGACTTAGGAGGCATGAGCGGGCGCTGGAAATGGAATCGGTGCCCGGATGCGCTGTTGGGCTGAGGCGTGCGGCCCGGCAGCCCCGGCACTGGAGCGCGG